TGAAAGCCAGGAGCTCTTCAGAAGATGCAAAAGGATTCTGAGAGCGTGGTGGCTTGACTGGTTTATGATTGATATTTTGCTGCACGCTCTCTGCAATCCTGTCTCGAAGGCCTACGAATTCCTCCTGTTCAATCCCTGGCGGCACCTCTACCTCATCTTCATCTTCATCACTATCTGATAAATTCTCTTCCTCCTGGAAAGCCTCTTCATTTCCTACTTCATTATCTCCAGATTGACCAGCACCAGATTGACCAGGACCTCGAGAAATTGGGTCTCCATCAACATTGAAGTAACGGTCCAGTGTATTAGGATGAACACCTTCAAATTCACGAATATGTTGACCATGCTTCGAGATGCTGTAGAATCGCATATCCTGCAAACATCTTAGAAACTGAAAGTTGTAACGGGGGAACCTCATACCAAAGGAGTCATATTGGCACATGTTGAGATAGGGTGGCTATTCCAGTTGTTCTGAAATTGGTCACAATCCTCGTTAATAGCTTCAAGAAAAAGTTCTGATAATAGCCACAGATGGTTTGGATTGCCCCTGTCAAGCCCATGGAGTCGTTCCAGCCTTAGAAAAAAAGCCCGCCATCGCCTTGCAAACTGTGTGGCTACCTCAACCCACAGACGTTCAATCCGTGTATTGTGTGTAGAGCTTAAGGAGTTTCAGTCACAGAATTAGAGAGAGATGGGTAAAAACAAGGTGACTTACGACCCCCACATGAAAGAGCCTCTTCCCGGTCCCATAAATAAAATCATCCATACAGCAACATAAACATTTTCTCCTCCACGGTCAGCACGCACTCGTGAAGGCCATCCATAGTGCCGAACCCGTTCCAGGAAAAGCCTAAGGACAGTTGACGCTTTGTTATTAGTACTTGCACGTAGTCCTAGAACCTGAAAAATGTTAGATATAAATACGCTTTGGAAACAAATATGAACATAATGCTTACCATGCGATCATGACCGTCAATAATCCCATGAAGAACAATTCCCCACAGAATTAATTTGTGACAACCATCAATATGATCAACACCATTTGAGTATGAAGACACATATTTTCGTCTAAGGATGGAGTCATGTGCACGGAGAGCCTGCCCTAGACCATCGACTCTCTCCAACGAGTCACGAACTCTTTTCCGTGGAAGTCTAATATGGTTTTGAGAAAGAAATCCCATCGTATATCGAATTCCTGACTCTGGCCTTAATGTTTTGTAGTAGCTGACTATTGTATCGAGGTCTAGATCCGAAATGGAAGTGAAACGTTGATGAAGTTGCAGTTTTTTGAGCTTTGCCCGTAGAGTATTTCTGTGAATACCAAGGAGTTCTGCTACCTTCTTCAAAGGAATGCGACGTTTGTGGGAGACGGCATCACACAACCATGCATTATTAATTCGTTTTTCAGGGCGACCACGACCACAGGAGGTATTTTGGTCAGATGGTAACACAAGAGTTGGCTGTATCCGATTCACATCATTTCTGTGTGATTACAACGAGGTAAACTAACATGGGATGATCTCTGAAATCTGTGCTCACTTACTCTCTCTCCGTAGACGAAACTTCTTTCCCCAACTCAATAAGGAGATTTCCAAGGATATTGGCACCATTAAATAACCACTCTGGGGAAAGACTTGTGCGAGAAAGCTTCCCATAAAGCTTGAATATTCGGTTCTGAAGCCTGTCCATGTGGTACCTAAGGCGGAATGTATCGCCATCTTCCCTTCTGAGTACCTGTAAGATATGACTATAGGAGCTTGATATGACGGTGTGGACCTGGTTGATATGGTATCCCCATAACATACTGGATCCTGGGCCTGGTAAAGAAGGGAATTCTTCCGGTAAAGGCTCCCCTGACAGCTCGTTCATATCTTACTGTAAGGTCAATAAATATATAAATGTTCTAAAGGACATAACTACCTATTCCACCTCTAAGACGGTAACTCAGTTGAAGTACGGACAAATCACCAACATGCAGTTCGTGCATTCGAGTGTTGCCCTTGAGTGGTGAGGCTTGACTTGCGTCATGGTATAACAGATACTCAATGGAGCTACTATGACATATAAATCTTCGCCTGCGTAGCTCTTCAAAGATGTATTCGACAGTGGCAATTGGCTCCAATGCTAAAGGAGAGGAAATTATAAAACAGTTGGAAAAGGAATGGTTCACTACTAAACTCACATATGGATATGTTGCGAAGACCAAGACCCTTCACAAAAATATGGAACTTTCTCTCAACAGAGTGAAGTTGTGAATGTTTAATTTCGCAAATTGGGCGAGAATTCATCAATAAGCTATCTGGACAGTCCATGAGTCTCGGCTGTTCCACAACCTCATAGGGACTTGAAGTGCTCACATGATTTAGGAAGAAAACTCTTCCCAACAAGACATGGACTGAATAAAGTAGCAAGTATGAGGAAGGATACTAGTAGCTTGCATGCCATTCCGGGGAGAGTCGGAGTTTGTGCCTGGGATTTCCGCAAGTAACCTTTCAAACGAGCTTGGCGCCACAGGGCAAGACGTCGTAGCCGGTGAGTAATTAATGGATAGATGATAGTCCCCCCAAGTTTAATAGCCATAATCTCTTCTGAGAGGCTCTGCTGAAAGACCGGCTCTGCTGAAGTAAGACGGCGCTATGCAAACCAGATTCAAAAATAGAAATCAGCCTCGTACCATTTCCTTTCCAGCTGTCCTCAACAATCCTAACAATCCACCTTCTTTCCTTCTTTGCGTGAAACCAACCAACTAGTACTTTCCTTTTGATTTCTCAGTTCTGTCAATGCAGTGGGAGAGTGGCATTAAACTCTCTCAACAGTATGACGTCAAACTAACAAACATCGAGCGTGATGAAGATTGCTACCATAGTACAGCAAGTTTGGTTTTAAAGGTGAGCTTCAGTGAGATCTCTTGTATCAAGAAATATATACTTACTTCCAACAGGTTGGGGGAAAACTATTTCGCTACCAGGCGGATATTCTGGCTGATGCATCACCCGTCTTCAAAAGTATGCTTGGAACAGCACAGGCCTCAATGACAGAGGGCTTGTCGGATGAAAATCCGATCATTTTGCATGAGCCATTCACTTCGGAGAATACAAAGATCTTGATGCTCTGGTTTCGAAGGTGAATTACCTTATTGCATTTGAGCACTGCTATAGCCAATCTAATGACACCAAAGGCAGTTGAAGGACAAAGAACTTACCGTAGGGAACCTTTGTGATCTCTTGGAATTGGGAACTTTCCTAGAAATGGAATGTGCCCGTGACACTGCAATAACACTACTCTCGTCACAACAGCATGTTTCCCCGGTCCTGATGCTTTGCCTTGGTGTCAGCTTTCATGTGGCGGAATGGATTGAGCCTGCATTCCGCCAACTTTTGCGAGCTCATTGGGAGTCACTCACAAGCCAGGATATCGTCCTTCTCGGTCCGAACATTACACGCATTTTATTTTCAACACAACAGGCCATCCAGAACCTTCGGCTCCTAATCGCAATTCACCCCTATAAGTTAATGCACCAAACTAGCTGCCAAACACCGGGTCCCGAACACTCCTATTGTCAGAAGAATTGGTCTGCCGGATGGCGCTTAGGCTTCGCACCACACTACCTCAATCCAGAGGTAATACTGACTCCTGAAGAAGCTTTACGAAAACTTTCCACCACCTCCATGATTGGTGTTACTCCCGAGTGTCATCGTGCTGCTATAGCCAATATCGAGGTGATGAAGGTGTTCGAGAAGGAATATGACATCATCGGAAAAGCATTGGGACAGGTTATGGAGTTGGTGGGTATAAAGTTCTATCGCAAACTTTGAGACCGAGTTTCTTTCTTTTTCCATTCATTCATTAGGACTCTGTTAGCTACCTTATTCTCATGGTGCTCCTTCGAGAGTTAATTAATGATAGTGCTATTTTTAACAGAATGTGGACCCACAGGCATCCATCATGACTGACAATTCCCATGGGCTCGACAGAGAGCACACATCATAGCCGAAGGGCTCAAAATTAAAGACAGCAGGAGGAATCGAACAACTATCTCTCTCGTATAACCATCAATGTTTGTCTTGCTCTTACAGAGTTTAGTGACTATAAATTAGCGCATTGGAGATTCAGCAATACCACTGCTACAAGGGCGGGATAGTGAGCGGCAAGGGCGGGACAGCGAGCGGCAAGGGCGGGACAGCGAGCGGCAAGGGTGGGACAGCGAGCAGCAAGGGTAGGACAGCGAGCGGCAAGGGTGGGATAGCGAGCAGGCGCTATCAGGCACCCTGCCCAGCAGTAGACTGCAAGACCAATATTGAATATTTTGAACGTACAATTTACTTTTGTAGGTGATGTTAACATTTCTCACTTTTGTAGGAAAAGTTTCACCGACCAAACTTTTGTAGGTGGTTTGTCGAACCTCAAACTTGTAGAAAAGTGACGAGTCAAACTGCAGTGGTGATTGGTCCGATATATATAGGTGGATTTATTTATTGTGCAAACGGTACGTCATAAGCAATCGTTAAATTGGGGCCACTGGGTCTACGAAGAATCAGTTGTTTGGTCTGGAACGATTCCGGATCTCGAGGAGCGATACAACATCACTAGAATTTTTTTTTTTTTTCAAGAAATCAGCGACAGCGATCAGGTTGATCCCAAATGCCGAGTAGAGGATGTATCATCATTGGTCAACGATTATTCTATACCTCTATTATGGCACGAAAAATCCCGATATTCAGCATATTGATCTTTATTTCCCTTTTCTCGGTGAATTTCCCTTCTAACCTTTTACCACTTTGTATTTACAGTGAAAGATATTGCCTAAATTATCTAAAATACAACCTGGATTTTATTTATGTACCGTACATTTTTAATGTACATATATATGGATGTCAATGACAATCAATCCTTCCTACATACTATACTGCAGCTTTAATTACTTCTTCTACATACAGGTAATTGGTAATTAACTAAATTTTACCTCAAAATCGGAATCACTGTCTAATTACCCACGTAGCATCTGGGTAGCTCAGTTGGAAGAGCATCAGACTGTAATGGCTACATACCTATGAGTTCATCTCATCTGAATGTCACTGGTTTGATCCCGGTCCCGGAGAGTTATTTTTTAATGTAATTTTTTCTCTCTTTGCTCCGTTAACAGCCCGATAATAAAAGTCCTATAACGTAGCAATCGGTGTATATTATACCATGGCTAGGCGATGGTATTGATATCACCGTATGCCGTCCCACAAACATGGAGAAACCTTCAAGTTGTGGAAGTCATAGCGGTTATTGACAACTTATGACAAGTTCTCCAACACTTTCTCCGTCAATTATGGTGTTCTCCGAATTCACGCTATTAATAAACAACCGGCGATTGACTCATTCGCCGATATAACAATGAAATATAAATACACTCGAAAACGCGTGTGTGGCGTTCTATCACTTTACCGAGCTTACTTCTGACCATCATAATCACCACAAAGTACTTTCGTCTTTCCCCACAACTTGAATCCACAACAATGTCCGCAATCTTCACTATGGAGGAAATGCCTATCACTGTCGAGCCTAATGTTCCCGAAGAGTCCGAATCCAATGGCGTACTGCCTCCTGCTGACGCGACTGCCACTGCAGTGATTGACGACCAGTTTACAATGAGGTCACAATTCTCCTCGCCGGAAATTGTACTTGTCTGTCATGATATGGACGTTGACTTTCTGTCCAATGTTTCCCTGGGTGCAAGCCTGCCCGCCAATTCAGAGTCTGGAAATACTCCTTCTATTATACCGGAGGATCTGCAAGCGGAACAACGGCACTTGAACGAGGATCATTTAATTGGTGAGTAGAATACGAATATCATGGATGATTCATGCATAATTAAAGAGATAAGTAAAGTAATTAGTTTCCTATGAGTTTCTAAGTACTAAGTATAGAATTATCATTATTATTTTATCCGTCTTTCACTGTGAGTGTGGGCGGAAGGTCTGCAAGAGTTTTCAGAGCCTCATTTTATATGTTCTTCATTTCGAAAGCTGACGTGTCAGTATAACCTGTTGGACTCGATGACGTGTCTCTATAAAGGCTACGTGGAAGAGCGTGGAAGGAGGTGAATTTGCTTCGCTCGTAGATATAAAAGATTGTGTACCGTATCAGAGCAACCTTGCGTCTTTGTAAGCATCTGTGACCGCATTGGCTTTTGGGAAGGTGTTACATTAAATATGTAAAGAGGCTACTTCAAAGGGCTCTCTCCGTACCCGGAGTGAAGCGAAGGAACCTCGTGTTTATTATAAGGAAAAGACCCTTCAAGTTGCACGATAAGCCATACTCTACAATAGTGCTGACGGAATACCTATATCCGGGTAGGGCAGGATCTCGCTTCCTGCCATATGCCCATATTATGAATACTCAAATAAAACCGTATGACCGAATCTGGCTGACTTTTATGATCAAATCAACATTACATTCTATTTGATTGATACAAAGAAGTAACGAATAATCATGCGGGTAAGAATAATTCGCCCTTAGCCACTGCCACTGCATGACCTTGCAGTTTGGCAATCTTCCCTTCAGCATCCACCACAACACCAATTTCTCCCGAACGGTTACTTACTTGTCGTCCCAACATAACGGTCTTTCCAAGCTTCGAACCCCAGTATGGTCCTAAAAGTGAATGAGCACTGCCTGTCACGGGGTCTTCGGGTATACCGATAGCTGGACCGAATACACGCGATTTAAACGTTTCTTCGCCGGTTTTGCTAATTTGTGTTACGATAATCACTACACTCTCAGGTGCTAAAAATTTCTAAGGCAAGGAAAGAAGAGTGCATTAAAACACAATATTATTAAGGACAACCCGGGAAGACGTACGATTGCATCCATATTCTTGACAGCTGTGTTCTCCAAAGGAAAATCATCGTTGATTTCAATAGTTAAATATTTTCCATAGGAAGAACCAGTCCCAGTAGTAACTGATTTGATAACCAGATTCTCTGGGCTAGCGAAGGCCTGGATGATAGAATCCCGCACAACGTTCTCTCTTTCGGTGGCCAGGGGTATAGACTCTCCAGCAGGGAACTCGAGTTCGATCCTCCCATCATCCAACAATTTCGAAGTGAGAATTCCAGAGACATTTGTCTGAAATTCAATCTTCTGGACGGATTTCGGCAGGATATCTGGGCTGGAGAACAGAACGCGAGCAGAGGCTAGGGTTGCGTGTCCGCACAACGCGACTTCTGCCTGAGGAGTGAACCAGCGAAGCCCGAAATTGCCACTGGATGGATCGATGGGTGTGATAAATGCTGTTTCCGATAGATTGAATTCAGCCGCTATGTTCTGAAGGATGCTATTTGGAAGCTGAGAATTGAGAACGATAACGGCAGCGGGGTTCCCTTTGAAAGGAACGGATGTGAAGGCGTCAACGACAGTATAGGCTAGAGAGGGCATCGTGAGGGATTCCGAGTTCGTGTCCTAAAATGAAAGCGCGAGTATAACGAGGGAAGAGCCAGTGGACCCCGCCTTCACTGAGATGACTCACTATGGCTGAATCAGGATCCGGCCAAGCGCTGTGGCGACAGATTACTATTGAAAGCAGATTACGAACGTTTCTCAGGAAAACTCACAGTGAAGAACGAAGAACGAAGTTGTTGACCCTTTTGGAAAGACTTCTTGTCTTTATCGATACCAAGACTAGTATTGTCTACAGCGAAAATAATGGATCCGGAAGTAGACACGCGGCGATGAGACCGTGGGAATATGACTCTTACAACCGTCCGAGTCAGCGAAACTATTCAAGCCGTCTTGCCAAAAGCAACTAGATAGCTAAGCGGAATGAAAACCACACTTTAAATATTATATATCCTTTATTAGTTTAATGACATGCGTTCCAGAGAAGGATAAAACGTTTCGAAACCCATTCTCATGTAGAAAGTCGAAATCGTGATACGAATAGAATTCAAAATTCGCGACAAGGAGTACGGCCATGGGCTCAAGAAAAATTCGGACACGGATTCGATTTCCATCTCGTGAGGGACAGGTAGAATTTGCGGCGAGGATAATTGAGACCTCGTTGTAAAGTGGTTGTCAATCACTGCAACAGTGACTGTGTCAGCAGTGTGCAGTATGCGCAGATTCGGACTGCTTGCCTTTCAGTCCTGGAACAGGAGCCTGAGGGATAGGTGTTCCCTGTCTAGAGGAGTCCAGACATCGTTATGGAATGTGAGAAAGGACGAAGGCACTTTGTGACGATCGTGATGGTAAGAAGGGAATTGGAACCCCGGTAAAATGATAGAACACCGCACGCGCGTTTTTAAGTGTATTTATATTTATATCGGGGATTGTCTCAATAGCCGGCTGTTTATTAATAACGTGAATTATGAAAACAGCGTAAGACTTGAGTGTCGGAGAACTTGTCAATAACCGCAAGTTGAAGTTTTCTCTGTGTGCCGGAGATATGACGATATCAACATCAATGTCTATGTGAGGCACTAATATGCCACTACGATTTATAAATTTTATTATCAGGATGTAAACGGAGCAAAGAGAAGGAAAATAATAGCATCAAAAGATAACTCTCCGGAACCGGGATCGAACCAGTAACATTCAGATGAAATACCCATTACAGTCTGACGCTCTTCCAACTGAGCTACCCAGAGATGAGCACTTCGTTTCCACCCTGTTACCACCGGCGGATCTGAGGCTGCCTAAATGCGCAAGGCACAGCGAAATTCGCGCAAAAAATAATAATACAACTGCTGTAGGCTACAGCCGGTCCTGATAGAGGTATTTGATAATAGTGGACCATCTTTACCTCCTCCTCCACTCTGCATTTGCCAGGAGGAAACAGTGGTGGCCAAGTAGTAGTCGAGCATATAAATTACTTCCCAGCCTTTCCTTCAGGTGTTAAGCTCCATAAACCATCCTTCATCGTTAGCTGTCCTTCCCGTTTCGCACTTTCCAAATACAACAGAAGTTGTTCAGGAGTTCGGTCATAATTAGGAGCGGCGAAGTTCAACATGCTGTGAATCCGGTCCAAGGGTAATGCCCCAATGTTGGTAAGCATTCCTTGGACGAACTAAGAAAATCCAATGAGCAATTGAAGAATTGGCGAAGATGTATACTTACCTTCCAATGAACTTTCATTTGTTCCGCTTGCTGTTGTTGCATCGTAACTATATTAGGGAGCTCTTCTTCTTGGACGGCTATTTCTAATTGAGTAAACGAGAGGCTTATATCTGGCACGTATATAACTCACGTTGTCTTCGCGTGTACTCCCTTTCTCCAGCGTCTTCCGATGCCACTTCAAGCAGTTTATAGCATGCTTCTGATTCTTCGACGAGTACCCCTTTATCTGCCCACGCATTGAGAGCCTTCACAGATGGAGCAAGGTCCACTGAGCCTAATCGAGGAAGAATGTCGTCTACTGTCCATGTATCTAAGAAGAGTAATAAGCTAAAGCACACCATATTTTCAAGTAAATACTACCTTTCTCTGAAAATAACTCGATGATCGCAGCCTCTAACGGGGTGGCTTCTGTTTCGATTTTGCGGTCTTGTAGCTCAATCTCAAGTTGAATGGAGCCAAGATGAGGGAGCCAACGCAGCTGCTTGTCTGGTTTGAAGGTAACAAATTCCTTGGAATAATCTTCTTGTAAGCTAGGAAATTTTAGCTTAAGACATGCGCTCGAAAGAGATAAAGGCTATCTATACCTTTGATATTGACCAAGCATTTTTAGACCACCTGTCTGCAGAGAAGGCCAAAAATTGCCCGATATAACTGTGAGATGGATTGGAGACTTTATCTCTTCAGCATAACGCAGGAGCAATAAGTATAGGGTAGCTTACTTCTTTCTGGGCTTGAATGTGCTGATCGATGCGCCTCGAATCTGTCATATCACGAAGCATAACTTCGCATACTTGTAAAGCAGCATCGCCGAAACGGATTTTGAGAATTTCAATATTTTTACGCTGACACAACTGTCAGTCACGAGACAAGAAGATATTACATTACGTACCTCTCTATCATAATTGCCGTCCTTGATAGCCAACAGTCGTTGAGCAAGAAGGATTTGCAGTTCTTTGACAAACAAGTCCTTTGAATCATAGATGCTGACCAACGTGGTCAGGACATCCGCTGGTTTATTCGCTCGGAAATCTAAAGAAAATATTAACAGAAGTTATACGTGAGAAATAAAGATATAATTGACCTGGTCCCGAATCTATCGGTTCAGGTTCCCAATTCGGATCCAGATAATCATCCACTGGTGGTGGTTGTAACGCAGTCGTTTGATCAGACTCATCAAGCAAGTCACCCCCTTCACCAACAAGGGATGCAACAATATTTCTTATCGTATCTGGACGCTCCCTACATCGAGGAAAATAATTATTGAGACGAAAAGCCTAGATAATATCACATACCTTAAATAGCGCCGAATAGGATCAGCAACCTTGTACAAAAGAACACCTGGAGGGTCTATCACCCGTAAACATCGGATGGTAGAAACATATTGAGAAAGGATGTCTTTCGTGTCAGCGCCAGGATGCAGCAGCCGTCGATTATTCCTGCAGGAAAAATATTAGATGTACAAAAGAACTGTCAAGGTTGTGCGACGCACAATCTTCTTAACTCCTTAACGAGAGCAAGACGTTCATCAACCTTTGAGAGACATTCCTAAATGATAAAATATTAGACTCAGCCTTTATTTAAATGTAATACACTGACTTTGATATCGAGTAATGCAGGCATGGAATCAGGATAATCGACGATAATGTCAAACAACTCCGTCATTCTTTTAGTATACAGTTAGAAAACACACGCCACAACCTTTCGGCAAGCGTACCTTAAATTGCAGAGAGTTTTACACAGGTGATAGTCCAGTCGGGTGACAATATTTGACACAATAATTTTGACTTCATCCGCTAAGCAAAGATAAGATTGCAGTGCTTCAATGATGGAGGTCACTCACGATTAGCCAACCCTCTTGCATACGGCCTTGACAGATAAGGGATTATATGTTCCATTAACCAGGCCTTCAAACCTGGTAACAACTGTTGGTCCCAGCTACCAGGACAAACTTCCTGGATTTTGTGATCAATCAAGGTGTTGACACAGAGCGTTAGCTGGGATTCATATCGTTCCAGGAAGCCTAAGACATCAAGGGCTCCAAAAGCAGCAGCATAGGGTGACGGAGGGCCAGCAACTACTACCGGATTGGGATCTTGAAGAGCAAGGCTTGGGAGATCAGGGTGGGGAAAGGTACACTCGGGGATAGCTGCCTCATCAGGATTGTCGGTGGGCGGAAAAGGACTATTCGTTAATAGATATGTAAGGAGATCGCGAAAACCTTCCACAAAGTCGTCTGGAAGAATAGAATGCAGCATCGCCATGAAGATGCGATGGTATCGATGAGGAAATACAGCTCCTAATCTATATATTAATAGCGGAGATAAGATTATTAGTGATTATTCCAAGGGAAATTATATCTACATACGTAGCTGGAGGGCACCATAGGGTGTGAAGCTCACATAGGCAATTGATAAATAAATAAATATCGCGAACATTTCGGGAAGCCTAGTAAGAAAAATCATTATTAGAGTGGAGATAAACGGAGGGTATTTAGGTATTTACCCGCCAACGGTTCATATAGGTGTCAATCACGGCCTTCAGATGAACATCTTGATCCTGAAGATGGTCTTCTAGAATTAAGGCGTAATATTGGAGCTCATCGATGACACATACCTGTAAAGAAATCAAGTGTGGCAGGCATCCATCGTTTCTCGACCAAAACGTGAATCGCTGCTTTCATTCTTTGCGTGTCTTCTTCAGCTAAGTAAAATAAGCATGGATTTTTAATATTTTACGAATAGAATACTACTCACTAAAGCGGCGAGGAGGTTGGCCGATAGATGGAACACTCATGTATCGTACTAGAGTTTCCCAAGCCTAAGCTAAATCTTAGCAGTGAAATAAGAAAGATCAAAATGAGATAACTCACATCCGCAGCGTCCTTCATACCTTGAGGACTCTTCTTATCCTGCCCCAAGTAATGCCCAATGTAGTGCTGCCATTTGCTGTGTACTGCATTGTGCGTCGTAGTGTCTCCTGGTTGGACAGACATGCCGAGACTAAATATGATGGGTTTTGAGGTATAAAGAGATTCGTATGAGTGTAATTTGAGTAAGAAGTTGAGCGAGAAGTTGAGAGGAAGCTATACTGCCAACCGACGGTGAACAGGGAAGCTTGAGAACGCGCGTTTGTCACGTGCAGTCACGGTCACGCAAGAACCGAAGCGGCGTGGAACTTGTTGCTTTTGCCAGCTTTTGCCTCGACTCTAATCGTAACTAGCTTGGAAGTTGAAGCCAAAAAATCGATGAATATTAACAATGGACAATGGAGTATATCTGAATATCAATAATTCAGGATCGGTACGGGTACTCGGAACATCGGTTCCGACTTTAGTGGGCTCATGTGGGTGGGTGCATTGTTCGCACACCACACGTCGAGCGACGAGCAACCTGCGCTACCCACAGTATGAAGGATCTTCAACGTATCCTGGTCTATGGCCCGCAATAAAGGCCTTATTTTTCGATTCTCCGCTTCACGCAATCTTTTATTAATGTGGTGGAATAACGGTTCTCTACTATCTAAGTAGTGAGTTATTCAACATCGTTTGCTGGACTGTGTTCCAGCTTCTGAGCTTTACTAACATTCTCCTGCAGCTTCTTTAGTTTTAGGTTTTTCTCATAAATACATCACTTTTCACTCCCTCCTGCCATCCCTGATATTGCGCCGAGTGAGGTCCTTGCAGTCAGACACGTTTCGGCCTCCTCAACGAACATGGTGGTTCAGAATGCTTTCGAAGCATCGGATGTGGATGGTTGGTCATTTTATGCAAAATAAGGACCAAATATTGCTGTTTGAACTATTCGTCCGCGCATACTCGAAAGATATCTTGCTTCGCGATCTGAGGTATGCACCTCGTCCGTCCATAACGACCATATTGTTCACCTAATGCATAGTCATTTCTTCTATATAGTCATCCGATACCGTGATTTACTTTCAATCGCAATCCGCCACTGCTTTCTCCAATAATTAGGGTCAAACTCTGTTGAATATATCGATATCGGACTGGCACATCTTATGTACTCGCCGTTATAGGATGGAAGGGTCCCTAGGGCGGTGGAAAGTCTGCACAAATATATCCTTTCAACGCAATGGTGAGTATCCACTAGCAAACCTTGTTCCCATTCCTGACTTCATACTTTGCTTCCACAGCCGTATAGCCGTACCGTCACCAATTTCGTTTCGGCCCTACGCTACCATATCTTCTTTCCGAAAGGCCGACCTTGGTTTCGGCTCTTGTCAAGATCCACCTCTCTGCCGTTTCATACGGTGCCAAATCCCTTCAGAACCTGTTAGCTGGATCGCATATCGAGTTCCGATGCGTGCGTGCAAGGCACGAATAGAACCTTCCTGGAAGTTCTCATGAGCGAAGGTATGCCTCTCCATACAATATGATATCATATACTTACGTATCTTCCTTGATAGAATATCGGCCTTGCTCCGCTTATGAGGATGTCAAGTGGGCGCCTACTCTTCGGATACACTTCCTCCTATTCTACACGACCCTCACCGTCTCAACCCCAGGAGGCCGTGC